AATTTCAGTCTGCTGCCTTCTTCCAAAAGGACACTATATCCACGAACTGAAACAACTTTTAGCGATGACTTCACGGTTAAGTGGTAGGTACCAAGCAAAAGGGAACGCCGCTGTGAATTCCGTAACTTTTAAGTAATCCCTTCAGATATCCAAAATTGCAGGACCTGTTCATCAGCAATGGTACAGATCGAAACCACTCATCCATGGGATCCTGATCGAACCAAGATTCATCACGATTTACTCAACAGAAACTTGTTACTGCTTCAACACCACTCTGGGACGAAATCTTCGTGAATTTGGTAGCGTTCTACGAAAAATTGCGTGAGTGACATTTTTCACCTTTGCGAGAGATTTTGAGTTTTGCCCTGGCTTAGAAATGACATTGTCCTGTTATTTGTAGCTAGTAATGCAGCTAGCCCCGGAATCTGGTCGTGTCCAGCATAATTTGCTACTTTTTGTTGTTTGTTTACCCGGAATTCGGTTCTACTTGAAAGAGCAACTTGAAGAAGTCGGGTTAGGGATGGGTGGGGCATGACACAGGATACACAGAGCAGACATGACCAATGCTAACCGCGCACACAATGGGCAGAGCATTCGCCGAAAGTGAGCGAAGTTTCAAACAAAAATTCATAGTTCAGTCTCTCAGAGTAGCCTAGTGATAAAGAAACGTGGACGAAGTAATAGGTTGACAGACTTATTGGGAGGGGGGGGGAGACACACACGCAGTAGGCGGGGTGCACTTGAAATAGGCGGTGCTTCAGACGAATCTCGGTTCTGAGAGTATTTGGAGATCACAAAAAGTCCATGGAGAAGAGGAATATCTGGCGAGAAATGAGTATGTCTGCGGCGTGTCCAGACCCGCCCGCAATGGGTGGAGCGTGCCCTCAAGCATGAATACTCATCTTCCAAAATTGTTCTTCAGTTCGCCGTGCACTAGAACAACAGAAAGTGAGACACTCGCTTTAGGACAGAGGTGGTACGACTTCGGGGGTAGGTTAATGTCAAAACTCGGTAGTTCCGTCACATGACAGACTATAGATTGGGAGTATAAGGTCATTACGGGTCAGGCAAAGGTGAGCGAATGGGGAAAATGGGAGGCGCGGTCTCAGTGGGAGACGCATAGGCTGAGGTAGGCGAGGTGAGCGGGGGCAAAGTCAAAAAATAGTGCATCGCTACAGCAGGTGCCGCAGTGCCGGAAAAACAATATGGCCCCGAAACGAAATGGAGCGACATTACCTGCAAGAGGGCGGAGAGTGCGCCGGAAAAGTGGCGGGTCGGAGTCACCGACTAGTAACCCGGCTCTGCAGCCACTACAGAAGAAGTATTATCATGATTCCCAAATAGTCGAATAAGTAGTGGCAAAACACCTTGATGTCACGATTTCAGAAAAGTGGAATCAGGCGACAGGCTAGTGTTTGGCGAACTGTTCTTCTTGCCAAAAATCGCACAACCGTGCGATGCACTCAGAGAATTCGTACGCAAGGCAGTCTCATGGAGTAAAGATGTGAGTTAGTCCCCTTTACCTTAGCTAATATTAGGAACCCAGCTTTCAGATCCCACGTGCAGTGGTTGCTTGCCGTTGTGAAACTGCGGTCGAAATCTACAAAGTAAAAGAACAAGATTACACAACGTTTCACATTCTTTGAACTATTCACGTCATTTCATTAGACATCTTTATTGCCTCAATTTGGTGCAACAATAAGAATCAATTCCCGTTGTATCGATTGATCGATTAACATATATTTAAGTGAACAAAAAGTGGAAGAACCATCGGAAAAGAAGAAGAACACGAAACGCAATGAAAATTAACATCGGACTGGAGATAGAGAATCGAAAATACTCAACGTCTAATGTCAACCAAAGTAAAGGGTGACAATAAAACCAAATCAAAAAGCAGTTCGGGGACGAGGGTGGGAGGGCATTTTTCACTCCTCTTACTTCCCACTGACGCATCGAGCAAACGAGTGGTCACTGTCAACCCTTGTAAAGCCATGAAATACTCTACAGAATACCATTTACCATGGGTATGTGACAAGAGAATCGTAATTCACCGCGCTGGTGGGCGTCGCGTGCGACGTCGCGCCCGCAAATGACGATGGTTCCAGGTAGCAGATGGCAACAACAGGCAATTCGGACCGAAAATAGTCATGGATGTCTAGAATGACGGGGTCTATGTGAAGTCCGGTGCTCCAGTCGACAGGCTAACACGAGTTAAGGAAACGCCGTGCCTTTCGCCGCGCGCGGCGGAGCGGCCAGTTACGATTCTCTTGCCCGTCTCCCATTTACCATAGTGACTCGATCATCCCGCTTGACAAGATTTCCCAGGTTCACAAGTGTTTCGTAAAAACTGGTGAAGCAGCAACAGTACAAAGTGTCCCCACCCCTCATCGCCTAACTGCGTCACAGTTTTATCGGGCATAACAAGAAACCTTTCTGTACCAGAACCCTTCCAAAGGGGTTCACACCCTACACACCGTCCTATTAGCTTCGAAATACATCATTCTGTCTCTGATAAAGCCCTCATCTCCTATGATGAATGAATGTAATGAAATGACTCTCTAATTACAGTTAAATGTACAAGATTTACAACACAATAACTAGAACATTGATCGAAAATCAAACGGTAGACGATAAGGCTTAACGAGCGATTAGCACAAACAAAATATGAAATATTGAGTGTGAAAACAACACTTCTGGAACTGTTGATAAGGTTTCTAATTGTGATAAACATCACTTTACAACACTTAAGAGTGACCCTCAGGAAACCACAGTCTATAGAATCTTCCATGAATTGCTGAACTGTTCCATGATGAAGCGTAATGCAAACTGGATTTCTTAACTCTGACGTCTGAAATATGGCCAGTTAAAATTAGACCATATGAAAAATGGGAAATCATCATAGGTTGATGTTAAAAGTGGCGCAGTTCGGGAGAAAAAAGAGGGGGGATGTGGGGGGGGGGGGGAGCATTTTGCACTTTCACTGCCTGTCCAGACCAGTTTACAAGTCTCACTCTGGTAAAACGTGCAAAATTTGTGTGGAGCTGGAGAAAGCTCGTCGAGTCAACACGGTAAATGGTCTATGTATGAGGTTTCAGTGTTCCTTAGAAAGTTGAGAGGCGGTCTCTACAAACTTCGCCCTAACCGGTATTCTCTCCCCTGGCTAATACAACGATTCTCGAGTCTCCTCATCGAATGAATTGACACCTTCTGTGGCTAAGAAAGCAACAGTACCAGATTTCCAACCCCTCCCCTCCCGCGAACGTGGCCGGAGGCAAAACTGGCAGCTAAAAAAAAAAGCCCAAGTATAAGTCTCCCAGACCCAATCTTGGACCAGTTCACTTTCGACACGTTTTACAGGAGTTTATCAAACGTGCCTCTACACAGCCGTGCATAACACAGGCTTCACCAAGCGCTTCAACAGGGTATTGACAAGAGGTTTGCCGCCACAGACATTTTAACAAGTGACTTGGCACCACACGGTGACGAGCGCTCACAGGTATGCATTGTCCCCCTCCTCCTCCCAGCGCTTACTCTTATCGCCTGCATAAGATATAATGAACAAATAACACTGACTTCTTAACTGGACAAAATGGAGCCTACCTTACTTATACATACACGATCATTTGTGATCACTCACGTCGTTAATCTTTGTACTGCTCGTCTTAAATCGCTCTGATTCACTTGAGGATGCGATAGTCGCGTCAGAATCTCTTCGACTAGCTCATTACATATACCCGGACAAACCTGAAGATACAACACGTTATTTTACAAAATAAAAGCAAATTCGAAAAAAATCCGATAATAATCCTTAAAACAAACCCGCGACTTATTCGGCATCAGGTGGATTAGGGGTTCCATATAGACGACAAGGGGTTGAGTAACTCGACAGTGAAGAAAAAAAGCACAAAAAACATGCCACCTGCCCTAGATAGAACCCCATTTTGATCCCAGTTTGTACGTGCCCAATTAACTCTATCTCCCACACTACGCCCTCATACGCACAGCTGATTCACCGATAAGAACTCTACGATCGTACAAGTGACGATTTTCATGCTTTTTCGTCCTGCAATCTCGTTTTTCACTGAAAGCCGGGCATTGGGGGCGGAGTCTGGAGGCGGAGTCACTGGAAAAAAGGAGGAACCACTGAACCTATATTGCGCTATAGCGCCCCTCCCATAGAATTTTTGCCGCGAAACCGGTACAAGGTTGTTCGTCGCGGACCACTCTAACCTCCTGACGCCATATTTCAACTTCGATACCTGATCGCGGACCGTGCCTTTAAGCAACAAAGAAAAAATGAAAAGAGTAAAAGAACGAGAAATGAATGAAAGTAGATTACCTCTTCCGCGTGGCGGAAAGCATTAGCAAGAGCGTCAAGCTCTGCTGTGGCATGACGCGTACGTGACATGCCTTCCAAAGCTGGCAATAGACTATATTCAAGAGCACCCTAAATGAAATAAGGACATCAGAGAGCCCACAAAAAATTGAGTTAGAAGCCGAAAAAGAGGCTGAAAAAGAAAACACAGATATCAACGTACAGGAATCCTTCGACGAGGTGATGGAGCTCTTTCATGATGAGACGAAACATGAGTGGAAGCTGGGTAGCCATTTCGACCCCCTGAGCCCGTTTGCCGCTCGCGTTCAGCCTAGAACAAAGAGGATTCACGTGTGCTGTATGCAGACTCGTGTACGAAAAGAAATTTCCATGTAGTTTGGCCATTTCCGGCAGATGAAGTTTCAGAGTAATGAACGGCGTTAGTAACCTTAAATTGGAGGGGAGGAGGGGGGAGGTCAAAGGACTATTTGTATAAAACTGAGGTCACTTCTATAACAGAATCGCTCCACTTAACCTGCCCACAAGCTCCTCCCTATTTAGCCTTAGGCAAATCCTTTTTTCTTGGCAGTAACCCCTTTTTCGCACAATAGTTCCTCAGATCGCCTCCGGGGTTATTAGCGCCTGATAAACATATAGCCCGAGAATCACTCCTCTGAAAGGAAGAAAACTCTGCACTACCGCA